CAAACTATGTATTAGGGAGAGAAAAACTCTGCTAGAAACTTGGCTGCCACAATGGGATGCCGCATATACAGTGTTTACTTTTGTCCGTAGAATTTTTCTCTCTCCCCTTTTTAATTCTGTATTCACAGTCTCTCTCTCTCCTTGTTTTTCACTCTATCCTCATTTCTGCTCCACTGCACACCTTGTTCTTTCAATGGATTTTTTTTCTCCCTGATTTTAGCCTCTAGGCCGTACATGAGCCCAATAACATTCAAAGTGATGGTCAGCTTTCACGCTCACAATATTCAGGTGTTTGAAACAAGGCCAAACCAATCCACTGTTCCCTAGCGAAAGGTTTAGTGAGCTAAACTGGACCTGTTGGACTCAGCTCATTGTAAAGGGCAGTATGGAGGCATGCTGCTCCTTCAGTGAGACTTGGTGCTTCTCAGCGCTCCCTGGTTGTGCTGTTTGTGTCTCTGTGGCAGGGAGGGGTAATTTGCTATTCCCTCTGCGTGGCCAGCCAGTTCTCATGGTTGACATGTAGTGGGGAAGTATCAGGGGGTAGCCGTGTTAGTCTGTATCTACAAAAACAACAAGGAGTCTGGTGGCACCTTAAAGACTAACAGATTTATTTGGGCATAAGCTTTCGTGAGTAAAAACCTCACTTCTTATGTAGTGGGGAAGAGGCAAGCCATGGCTTTGCTTGCTCCTCGCTCCTCCCTGTTGCCTTTCCAGCAAGTTGCTCCTCATGGCAGCAACTCAGTAGCAGCCCCTGTGCTCAGGAACTGCCATTTTGGTCAGCCCTTCAGTAGGTCACATTAGGGGTGAGGTGGGAGGGGGAGTCAGGGAATAGGTAGTAATTGAGCTGGTAATTTATGGCTCTTGGGCTAGATTTTTGCTACAGGGACACGACCTATATTAAGGAATGCATGTTGCGGTCCCATCCCAGGAAGAGAATTGTGGCTCATGGAGCCATACTTCCGTCTCTGCCCTTGCTTTGCTCCAGGGGACTGTCTGTCCGTACCAGCAGCAAATGATCACCGCCCCCCCTTGCTGCCTGTGCCAGCTGCACTCTGCTGACTTGTACTATCTGGCTGCTACTGTGAAAGCAGATGTAGCCGAAATAGAATTCTTCCCTAAGTTATCCACTGGCAAACAGGCCTGCTGCAGCCCCTAGCAGATAACCGGATTCAATACATTTGTTAATAGTTTACCCATTAACTTATTATGTCAATTCATCTGACAAGCAGGACTCTTGTGCCTGGCACAATAAAGAACGAAGGGAAGGTGAATACATTATGATCAATACCGAACCCACCCTGTATATATTCATCCTTGACATAATCTCTAAGGTGCTTGTTTGCCATTTCTTCTCATCAAGTCTTTATCGCCACAGCAGGTGATAACGATGGAAAATCATTATTTGTGTCTGTATTAACTTTTACCACGCAAACCCTGCTCTTTTGCAAGCCCAGTTGCCATCATGATTCATTGGGCTGAATTTAGAAGGATAAAACACATCTTTTCAGGCTGAAGAAAATTCTATTTCCTTTCCAGATATAAATGCAGATAGAATCAATATGTAGTGTTCTGCTGTTAGTGGCCATCCCTTAATGGCATGCATATGCTAGAAGTGGCAATGTCCTAGTAAAATAATTGCATAGCATAATGGTGGTGGGGCGGGAAATGAAATATACTGTTCTCTTGTAGGTTTGATCCACCAGCCTAAGCAAAGCTCTTACTGACATTAGGGGTGCAGTATCAGGTCCTGTATTCAATATGAAATCACACTTATAAACTTCTCCCTGTTATTCTGGAATGTCAGTAATTGGTCTGGTGAGGTGAGCACACTGGGAGACCCATGTTTTCTAGTGGACTGTATATTCTGATCTGGAAGCATTTGGAATTTTACAATTCTATAGAGCCAGTCATCAAACACACACATGGTGAAACTCCACTGGAGTCACCGGGGTGAAATTTAATCGAATACACTTTTCCGGCTGGTTTGAAAGGGCTGTCAACTGCGGCTGTAAAGACTCCGGCATACCTGTCCTCAGTGCTGAAAGGAAATCTCCTGTGACTGGTTTACATACCATACAAAATGCTTAGGCAGAGGCATGCAAGGAGCCAGGAGACAAAATGTAGATCTCCTGGGCACAAGTGAGTTGCCTTTGCATCTGGTCAAGGAAAACTGTAGCATTGTTCTTCACGTTCTTCACAGAACTTGCATTAAAGGCCAGGCTGTGTAGTGATGTAGAATAGAGGATGAAAATGGGTGGTTTCCTAGTTTTGCATTTTAATCTTACTTTTTATTTCCTTTCCTTGGATAAAAGGGGCAGAGAGGTGTGTGTGTGTGTGTGTTTACAGAAAGGTATCTGACAATTCTATGAGAGTCCTCAATGAGTCTACAACTAGCCGGAAGTGTCATCCCTTTTAGCCCAGTCAAGGACTCTGCCACTGTGACATAAGGGGCTTCATGGATGATTGGAAGGTGTCAGAACCACTAACATGCTTAAAAATCACTCACAAAGCACTGATACGCTAGGCCTGACCCTGATTTCACGCTTTTATTACACTCATGAAACCGAATTGATTCTGGATTTGCACTGATGTAACTGAGTGGAGAATCTGACCCTGTGTTTCTTGGCTCTGCCTGCATGGAATTGCTTTCTGACACAACCAATCCTTTTATTTTTTAGAATTACATAGCATTACCTTTATTTCAAGACAGTAACAAATATTCTTTAAAAGCATCTAAACACACGAGTTATTGTTTTAAAAGGTGAAGTGAATTATTTCCAAAAGTTACAAATCCCCCTTTCCAAGCAAACAATTCTGTACAAAATTTAACAGCAGAAATGACATGTGACTCTTCTAAATCATTTCTTTGAAGGGGGGTCAGATTCTCAGCTGGTATAAATGAGACTTAAAACCACTCTGATTCACGCCTGCTGACAATCTGTCACTGAGCCTTTTCAGTGTAGTTGTCAAGCTGTGTGTTTATGGTGGAGTCATACAAAGGTTGATGGGACTCTTATTATGCTGATATGTAGGAGGATATTATCTGGGGTTAAACATAACTGTGTTTAAGGACAAGGGATTTGATCCTGCAACTTTTAATCATATTGAGCTGCACTCGCACAAGAAGTCCAACTGAAGCCATGAGCTTGTTCATGTGGGTAAGCCCTGCTGAACCTTAATGAGGGTTGCAATTTGGACAGTAGGGCCAAGGGAAAATAAATCTTAAAAAAACAAACCAAACCCATGAGCAACGAAAAGTGATGTAAGATCTTACTAGATTTGTGTCATGTCTCGTTTTCTCCAGATTTTCCACTGACTCAACTTACTAACAGGAACGAGGAGGTAGGGAGTACGTTAGTCATAATTGCAGGAAACGTCTTCCAGAATGCTGCTGCTTAGTTGTAGATGACCTGACTCTGATGCTGTTTTTCCTTTGCTCACCACTTGCTTCTTCCACTAACATAAAGAGCACTAGGTGTAACCTCCTGCAGGTTCATTAACAATGAAGAGATTTACTCAGGTGCTGTGTAACTTGTAACAAGCCCTTTAGAGAGGAACAATGGTCCAGTGGCTAGGATACTAGATTGTGACTTGGGACTCTGCTCTGTCATTGACTTCATGTATGACTTTGGGCACGTCACTTAGCCCTGGTCTACACTGGGAAGAGGGGAGGATCGATCTAAGTTACGCAACTTCAGCTACAATGTACTTAGATTGACTTACAGTGGTGTCTTCACTGCGGTGAGTCGACTGCTGCCGCTCCCCTGTCGACTGCGCCTGCGCCTCTCACGGAGCTGGAGTACAGGAGTCGACAGGAGAGTGCTCGGGGGTTGATTTATCGCGTCTAGACTAGATGCGATAAATCGACCCCTGCTGGATCGATCGCTGCCTGCCGATCCGGTGGTGCTTCGGTCCCCCATCTGTAAAACAGGGATAACAGTACTGCCTACCCCCTCCCCCACAGCGGTGTTGAGAAGATAAATACATTAAAGATTGTGAGGTGCACAGACAGGACTGGCCTTAGGGAAAATGGTGCCCTGGGCAAACTTGTATTTTGGCGCACCTCCCCCCCATTGCCCCGGTCCCTGTGGGCTCCCCACTCCCCCTTTGCCCCTAGCTCCTGCACCCCCTTCACCCCACCCCTCCTGCGCCCCCAGCCACTGCCCCTCTCCTGCACCCTCTTCACCCCTAATCCCTGCACCCCCCTCCTGAGCCCACGTGGGGAAACTGATCTGGATGCATGGAGCAGCTTTTGATGCTCGCCTCACAGCACAGCCCAGGTGGAGAAAGTGACCAGAATGCATCGAGCACTTGGTGTTGCGCCTCGCTCCCCCTCCCAATTCCCTATGGGGGCATGGAGGAATGTTGGGGGGGTGAGCTGTATCTGTGGGTCACCACTTCCCCCGCCCCCCCAATGTTCCTCCACTGGGAGGAAGCAGGAAGAAATCTGGAAGTCCCCCAGGAAGCAGCTTCTGATACTACACCGGCAGCGTGCACCTTTGCACGGCTGCATAGTGCCCCCTTGACCATTGGGTGCCCTGGGCGGCTGCCTGAGTGGCCCACACCTAAGGCCAGTCCTGTGCACAGATACTAGGAGAGTGGAGGCCATAGAAGATCCTTTAATTCAAGGAATTAATATTGTTCTTTTAATCACAAAGGAAAAAGCAGGTAACAACTTCTGCTGACTTTGGATGTTTCTTTCTCTGTTCCGCATCGGTTTGAAAATGTAGCTATGTATGAAGCAGTTGTAGTTGGTAATGTTAGTGAACCAGATAGGGCAACGGGTTGTATTTTGTGTTTTTATCCCATGCATGATTTATTACACAATTAATGCACTGCACATTAATGCACTGACTGAGCAAGTTCACAGAGGCGGTGGGGAAGCCAGGGGTCTCCACACACCAGGCCCTTAACCATAGATAGGTTCAGGTGGATGCAGGGGAATGTATCATGTAGATGATGCAGAAACAATAACAATGCTGATCCCTTCCCTTGAACAGCCCCCTGTGTTGTTGGTGAGCAAGCATTTAAGATGTCACTGAGCAGTGAAAGAAGAGTAAATACCTCGGCGCTGAAGAAAATTGCGGCAGACATGAGCAATTTAATAGAGAACCTGGACACCAGGGAGCTCCACTTTGAGGGGGAAGAGGTGGATGCTGACGTGTTAAATGATCCGAAAACAACTGGTGAGTTAGTGTCCGTCTGTTTTCACCATATGTCCCACTAGGAGTTAGCAATGCAGTGCAGCTGAGGCGAAGATGAAGCTTTCAGTTTGATGGTGTTAGGGAGTGTGGGTGGGGAGAGTGAGAGAGTGGGCCAGGATTTTGAAGCTCTGATGGGGCCTCGTGAAACTGTGCTTGGTTCTTTAGGGCTGTGAAACCTTTAAAGTGATGGCGCCATCTTGCAAAGTACTTTGTGATGCCTACAAAAAACGAAGTGATGCCCTCGACCTAAACTGGGAGTTGAGGGTGTTCAGCATCATGAAGGATCAAACCTGGATTTGAGGATTCAAAGTACCTCGTAGGAGTTGCTCAGCAGGAATGAGCCATAAGAAATTTGCCAAAGCCCATTGAAATCAATGGAAAGACTCCTACTGGTTCCTATAGGCTCTGGATCAGGCCTTAATTAAGCTTTAAGATTTAATTTGGATTTCCTTTCTTTTATTGTGTTTTAAGGTATAAACCTTTCATTTCATTTTGGCACAGCAGCTGCACATCACTGCACCTGTCTGTCTATCATCTATGCATTTCTAGCTATCTAATAAAGGCAGGTTGGCTTTTTTGTTTGTTTTTTAAACAGGATTAATGTTTTTTTTTCTAATCTACTCGAGATTTTTGACACTTAGCTGTTTCAGAACTCTTTAAAATAATACTTACAAACTACTCTGAAATTGTCAAAACGCTGCTTCTTGTCTTGCCTAAAATTTCCATTAGTACCTGGGTGACCTGATGCAAATTGCCAAAGTTTATGAATGAGTAAGTCTGCAAACATATACAAATAATCCCCACCAAAAAACCTTGCTACACAAAACACCCTTTTGTTCACTTATTTGACAAGTGTAATTTAATTTTAATTATTCCTGATAACACCTCATAATACATCAGTAAACATCCTGTAATATATTTTGTAACATGGATGAAGACTTAGTGATAGAAGACCTCATCACAGCACTTTGCTATTAAATCTTTGCTGAAGAGATGGGTGAGGCTGCTCATTTCGTGCATGAATTATGGAATGTGTTGCTTCCCTACGTGCAAACTGCTGAGGTTTACTGTGTTTCTCCAGGTAACCATTGACCCTATTTTATGACAAGAAAGTGCTATATCTGGCATTTGAACTCTTCAAGTCAGATGACTTAATGTGAAGGCTTCTATGAACTGAGGTGCAATAGGTTTTAATAAGGCATGATATGCATTGGGGAAAAATAAGACTACAGAACTTCAGGATTTTATATAATCATTATTAACTTGTTACATTATCCCTTAGCTATTACGCTCTTATTCATAGTTTAAAATAGTGTTAAGCTAATTACTATTTTATGATCATTTGCAGTGGGCATCCCATTCTCTGCAATTTATAACACTCAAGGGTTCAAAGAGCCTCATATACAGACATATCTAACCGGATGTCCAATTAAAGTCCGAGTTCTGGAAGTAGAACGCTTTACCTCAACAAAAAAGGTCAGAACGTGAATGTTATTGGAACATTGTTTTAAATCCCAAGTCCATTTTTAATTTCATGCTCCTATTACCATGTTAACACATCACTTACAAGTTAACTTTCTGTAAATCAGCTAGTGGGTTTTAGAAAATATGAATACGTCTGTCTGGGAATAACTTTATCAAGGACAATATGAATAATCTTTGCCTGTTCTGTTTAGAGTCTAATAAAAATTGTAACTAAAAGTCATAAGGAATGGCTATACCTTTAAATAAAAAATGATAAACTCTAGAGGATTTAATGCTAGAAGATTACCCATTGAGTACTGAAACATTGGTGCTATTTGTTCCTGTAGGTACCAAGTCCAAATGTTTACACTATTGAGTTCACACATGGGGAATTTACATGGCAAGTGAAAAGGAAATTCAAGAACTTTCAAGAATTCCACAGGGAACTGCTGAGATACAAAGCCTTCATACGAATTCCTATCCCTACAAGGAGGTAACTATTTTATGCAGTCTTACAAATATGGTTCAAGGCCCAAATTGCATTAGAAAGAAGCGAAAAGCCTGATTCTCTCTTACCCTTGTAGTACACAGGAGTAACTCCATTGACTTCCAAGATTCACTCCTGATTTACCCTGGTATAAATGAGAGGAGAATCAGGCTCAAAATCAACATATTAGTAAGCAGCAGTAATCTGAATGATCCAATGATCTCTCTCTTGCGAGATGTAAAAAGCATGTGGGACATTTTGTGCAGTCAATTTTTAAGCAGAATTTCCCTTCGAAATCATTGGGTCATTGTGCTTAAAAATGTATTGCACAATATGGCCTCTTACCTTTAAGAGCTTATATCTGTGAGTGCTGAGTGCTCTCAATTTTCCTTCCCAGTGACTCTAATGAGGTGCGCAGCAGCTGGTAGGACTGGGCCCAAGGCCTGGGACAGAGCTCCAAACATAAAGAGAGTTGTGGAAAGAGGCCTGAGTGGTGGAGTGTTACAGAAGGATAGTTTGGAGATTGGCATGGGAAGACAATAGGAAGCTAGGGGGCAGTCGAGGAAACAAGAGTAAGGATTTTGGTGGGGTAGAGGTATGAAAGGCTAAGGGATTAGTGAAACATAATGGACCAATAACATGGTCCAAATTCTCTTCTGATTAAATAGGCAAAACTCATTTGAAGTCAGTGGATCCATGGCCATTTGCATCAAAGGAGAATTTGGCCCAATATGCTCTGCTTTTTGCATTGTATTTTAGTTTGAATTGATTTGTACACAGTGATTTGTTAGACAATTTTACGCCTCCCCTTATCTTTACTCGCTACGTGTCCCTCATTTTATAATAAAGTTTTAAATAGAATATCAGGACTCTTGTGTCAGAGGAAAAGACACTAACGTTCTACCGATCAGACAAATAATCTGGGATTTTTTTTTTCTTCCAGTCACACAGTTAGAAGACAAACTGTCAAAAGGGGAGAAGCGAGGCAGATGCCAAGTCTGCCACGCACGTCTGAGAACATGGTCCGAGAAGAACATTTTTCTAGTAGAAGAGTAAATGTCCTTTCTTCTTCTAAATACTTTGTTCAGAGATGTGGGTGTGCTGGTAGAAGACAGGCTGTTGACGTGTTGTGCTGTCCATCTTATTCTTGGGATTTTTCTGACTTTCACTACTGGGGACCAGCTTGTTTGCAGCGCTGTGTTCTGACCAAGTTCACATGCCTTCTGTTTTGTTAGTAAATTCTTCTTGGTGAACCGAAACTCTGCCAAGTTTAGAGCCAAATTGTCCCTGCTCAGAAAGTGGAAGAGACTGCCTCAAGGAGCACTCTGCCACGATCTGAGTTATTTCCCCTTTGCTGGGATATTGTGGCGCAGTGGAGAGTGTGCTACATGTGTGTGTATATGTATATATATTTTTCATTCAATCGGTGGCTTCTTTTTATTCTCTTCATGACTTCCTGTAGCTATTTAATAAGATTTTTATAGTAATCCCTACATCGTATGTAAAGTTTTCATGCTTGCATTGTAGAAACAACTGGAAGACTACTTGACAAAGATCTTAAAAATGCCCATGTACAGGAACTACCATGGAACGGTAAGTAGTGTGTACAATGGCTTAAGCCACAAATGAATGTTCTTTTCACATATAAGTATTTAACTGTGAGAAATAAATGCTGTAGTTTTCTCTGAGGTATATTAAAAGCATTTTGCAGCCATTTTTATTAGGGCAAATATCTTCAACGTCAAACTGTAAATCTGATTATAACCAAATAAAATGCTATACTATCAAGCTATTGGGGTGTCACAGCTACAACACATTGTGACAACCTGCTTGTTAAGGGCAGTCTTGTGCAGACAGCTCATTACACATGTAATACGACTGGCTTCTGATTGGTTCCTGGTAGCATTTAAGATGTTTGGTTGGTGGTTCAAATGCCTAAATGATTGGGGTCTCTGCTATGTGGCAGATGTTACCTTCACTTTGGGAATCTTGGGAATTTAACCTTATAGGGCCAAACTGTGCTTTGGCTTATATCCCTTACAACCCCATTGACTTCAGCAAGTTTGTCTTGGTGTTAATAAGAAGAGAATTTGGCACCTTGGCTTCCCCAAGTAATTCATTCCCCCCACAGGGATGTGGTAATCTATATGTTCCCTCATTCCTACGAAACCTCATTGAAGTCAGATGGTTCACGTTATATCCAAAATTTGGCCCATATTGTGCAAGAATGTATCTCCTGAAATCCATGTTATGTACTTGGAGTTTCACCTCATTGACTATCCAAATTTCTCACCTGCTAGTTGGAGGAGACTTTAGAGGCCATAACTGTATGTGGATTTATTACTTCTCTTCTGTATCATCAGCAAAAAACGGTTTGTTGCAGAACTTACTGAATAAGCAGAGGGAGTTTATCCTTCTGAGCAAGACAAAACAATTAAGTACACTTGGTTTTAAAATAAGACAGAAACATAGACTCAACTTTACATCTTTAAGGGGGTATATCTGCTCACTATATGCACTGTTAAAGCAGCAAAGAGCCCTGTGGCACCTTATAGACTAACAGACGTATAGGAGCATGAGCTTTTGTGGGTGAATACCCACTTCTTCGGCTGCATCCGAAGAAGTGGGTATTCACCCACCAAAAAGCTCATGCTCCTATACGT